CCAGAATCCTGAAGAACCGATGACATCTCTTTAAAAATGTCTTTCGGTGTTATTTCCCTTCTTTACGAGGAATTTTATCACGACTCGATGTTCAAAATTCCGAGAATTTCCAGATTGGACTGACATGGTGATATTTGTTGTTTAATAAATAATTGAACTACGAGTGGAAACTTTTTTGCGCCCAAAGCAAGCGGAAGCCCGGGAAGCGGGGCAGGGAGGTGATGAATGCTCGTAGCATACCACGCAGTCGGCTGCGTGGTTATGTGGGACTCATTATGAAGTGCCTACCCACTAAACACCACCTGTGGGACTGGCTTTCGCCTGGAAGGCCTTTCTGCAGAATCGGAAATGACCCCCCTTAGGGAAAGGGGGTGCAGGTGTGGAAACTTATTTAGTGATTGCTTTTATAATACTACTGAGTGTTGCAACTAATGAAATGAGTAACAAGCTAATTACTCATCGTTAAGTACCCTAGGCCGCGAACTTTTCAGCCACCCTGGTATATACTGTTTAAAATATAGAATGTTTTCAATTATTTTGTTAATTTTGATATTTTGCAAAGAAAAAAGTCACGTTGTTGATAATAATTTGCATGAATTTGGTAAATACATTTTTATACAAAATATTTTACATGTACGCTAGTGATTGACTCAACTATATCAAAATTAATGTCGATATTTATCTTGAATGTTTATAATGAATCGACAGAATTGCTCACACAACAAGAAAATAAATCCTCGGTTTGCGTTCTAAAATTTTATTGTGCCATTTGTGAAGCAGATTCCCACCAGATTCTATAATTAGAAAAAATGGTTAAGCTTAATTGTAAGGGTTGATTAGAATTCAAAAAAGAACTCAACAATTTGCAGCAAACATTTTCATGAGAAGTATAAACTTAAAGTAGAATATAAACAATTTTATTAAAAGGTGTCATTCCTACATTATTTGTAACAGTAAGTATAATATTGTTATAATAAGATTTCAAAAATGTAACTTTCCAAACTTTAGATAATAATATAGACCGATTTTTTTAATACTAGTAATGCTATTAAACTTTACTAATATTCCCTTAAATACCACTTACTAAAATACCACTTCTGGTAATCTTAAAATGCTTTTGTTAGAATTGCTTTATGACAGTAGTCGAATGGCGGATTCGAACTCACGACCTTTCAAGTTCGCGGTCCGCGTCCTGCTATTAGGCTACTAACGCTTCTAAACATTATAAAACTGTAGTACATTAAAGATAAAAAAATCTTGAGATTATCCTCTCTAAGCCATTATGAACCCAAGTATCTATTTATCAACCAAAATAAATGTATACCCTTACTTAACCAACCGCCTCACGGTCACACTAGTACAATATTCATAGCATCACGCTATTTTCCCCAAAGAGTTGAGCGGTGCTACGGATTATATCCCCAAGTCACAATTATAAAACTTTTAGCGTAGTTAGGTATAGATATTTAGTAATGCTCCTGAAGCGCCCAGAAGCGCCAATAGATGCCCTCGCATGAGACGCGATAGTATGAATTCCATAGTATTTGATACTCACAACGCTCGATGCCCGATTCATGCTTGATGGTCGAAAACATTGTTAAATAGTGTGATTCAGCACCTACAGCGTTAGTCGTATAGAACAGGAACTTGTGGTTAATTAATAGCCGCGCGGATCAATAAATCTGCGAGATTAAGTTGCACTTAATCAGGTCAGTCAATGAATGAGTGACCATTTTCTTAACATACTGAGATTGAGAGAATAGAGAGTGCATCTATATTCTCAGACACTTGGTGCACTTTACTGTGTTAAGATCATTATGTTTTTAAAATTCATGCAGCTAAAATCATAATAAGTTTATTATTACTTCATACTTTTCAGGGACAGATGAAAGAATATAAACATGAAGTATGATGAAGCCTCATAACTCATAAATATACAGCCTTTAAACAGAGTATTGTTATTTAACTGATTCCTACAAGTTTCCTTACTTAAATTGTTTTTTACATTCATATTTAAGTCGTATGTTAAAATAAACTTCTATAATGTAAATTATTAATTACTAAATGTTTGTAATTATCAAAAGTAATACTTATATGAAAAATAAAGCAGTCATTATGTACTCCGTGTCCCCGTTTTTATTTCCCAATCAAAACATCTTATAAATAATAAATAGGTATATACTTGGTTAAGTATCTACCTATGTATGTAAACAATATGTTGTAATGAAACTGTCCATGGCAGTATATATTTTTCTCCAACGATCACAGCTCTAAAATACAACTTTCCTATCTGATTCTTGGGGAGTTTTTTGAGTTTATCGGTAGAGTCACCTGTGATTTTATACATTTGAATTAAAATCCAACAAAAGGCAGGTAGGTTCAGCTTATTCCCAGGAACATGTTTTTTTTTTATAGGATAGGGGTGACAAACGAGCACACAGTCCACCTGATGGTAAGTGGTTGCTGCGGCCCAAAGACATCTACATCTATCCTTTATTACAAATCAAAATGTAGTTGCGTTGTTACACGTGAGGACTAAGATGGAATGCCTCATTTCCAATAAAAAGGGCCTCCGGCCACCTGCACTCACCAAGCGAAACGCAGAGGTAAACCTCTACTTCACGCTGGTTTTCTGTGAGGTCGTGGTACCAACCCGGTTCCAGCCGGCCCATCCGTGCGACAGCAAAAGCTGCCGCGTGGCTCTACTACTGTTCAAATGTTATATGAATATGATAATATTGATTAATATGATAATAATGCAAAAATGTTATATGAATATTTTTTACTTATTTTAGAACTATCATGGTAAAAATTCAGTTAATTTTTTAAGTTATTCAATTTCGTGGACTAAACAATGTGCTTAAATCTTTTTACCGCTTCCTTAACAATCATTTTTCGATAGTCCTTGTAAGTAATATGTACATCACTAGGTAACGCACACAATGACAAATCAAAATTAGTCACGCGTTTTCCGGCTGTCAGGTCGTCTGTACGTCAGTATGTATATATATTATATAAATCCGTATAGTGCCACCAACTTATCTGTTCAGTTGACAGCGTCGCTAGTGGAGTGGTTACTATTGCCATTTAAGAAATTCACCGAGGAAATAGGTAACAACATATTCATTACACATAATATAAAATAAAACAAATTTCGTGTTAATATATTAAAATTGAGAATTAGTGTTATTATATGTATTATTTTTATTTTATAAAAATAATTGTGGTCGTGATCTCGGAGTTCAAGCGGCCGAATACCAGGAATTTCTGTTTTGAAAAATGTACCCGCGTAGCTACTGGTTCCAATAATTCATCTTCTGGAATCGCTTTCACTATCGCTCTGACACTGTAATAAAGGGTTCATTTAAATACGCGTCTTTTAGTCTGTATTCATTTTCAATTTTTTTACATGATTACAAATGTTATTTGTAAATTTATGAAATAAATCTTCAATTAATTGGGGCATTAGAACATTAGCAACACAAACTACAAAGCTAGGTACTTTAGATGAATTGCAGTAAATTGAGATAATTTTTTTACTATGTTTCATAAGTACATTATTTGGTGATTTTAACTTTCCATATCTGGCAATACTAACCTGTCGCGGCAGCTACGCGTTCTTACAGCTTTTCAAATGGTATAGTTGGGATTCGTACACGTTTCTCTTCTTCATAAATGATAAAAAATTTAGCATAATCTATCGCGCATCACTTTTAAGACCTTTAGGCATTTTATTGACACTTTTTAAAAACGCTCACCTGATAGCTTAGAATAAATAATAGCTGACAGCGAAATGTCATTTACAAAATGGCGGCTTTAGTTCCAATTTTGTCCACCTGAACAGATAAGTTGGTGGCACTTAGTGTGGTCTCAATCTACTAGTTAGTCTGTGGTTTCAATATACATGCAGAGTGGAGCGGCGCTAATAATACAAGATTTCAAATTAAAGTTTAAACCTGGACGTAAATAACAATTCAGTAAAATTATTTGTTGTTCAAGTGAATAAATAAGTAATAATATCGTGATATTTCAAAAGAAAAAAAACATGGAAAAATATATTTCCTTATATAAACGCGCTTAAATCAACTGCGCATGCGCGACTTTACTAACTCCCGCGCCTGCGCGAAGACATAGAGTAGTGCACATTTTTTGTTTAGAAAGGCTTCTCTAGATGAGTAAAAGTATTCTGTGTCCGTAGTACATATAACTCAATGTTTGCAACCAACCGTAGAAAGAGAATAAACTGTACTGTTGTACATACTCCCTCTACGCAACCAACATGGTTTTAGGCACAGATAAAAACAAAAAAGTTTGTTTAAATCATTGAGGTATATCGTGTTGTACCTACCGTAGTACTATTATTTATTCTGTGGTATTACTTCAGCGGTATAAATCAATTATTTTAGGTGCATTTAATTATGCATTTAAGTATGCAACCATAGATAAATATATATGTAGCAAGCTATGGTATGTAGTATGTAGTATGGTATGGTAGGTATGCAACCAGCGGTAAATTATTACGGGCTAATAAAGAAATAATGAAGAAAGATGTTTCTGATAAAAAAACTTACCTTTTGACGTCATCTAGAAAACACATTTTATAGGAAGTCTAGCATTTTTGAAGCACTCTAGAATCCAGAATTTTTGAAGCATTCTTTAGAGTCCGCACTCGCGCATGTAGGGTTCCGTACCATCGTTAAACACGTTAATAACGAAAATTTCAACTGTCTACCTATTACGGATCACGAGATACAGCCCGCTGACAGACAGACGGAGGGACGGTCAGCGGAGGCTTAGTAATAAGGTCCTTTTGGTTACCTTTTGGGTACGGAACCCTAAAAACGGCAAGATGCTTCGCATATTTTAAACAAATATCGTTCTTTACAATACGTTGGTTTTTTATCATGTTATTTTATGTAAAAAGGCTACTATCCTTTACAGATGTCATCCTTATCATATTCAATTTAACGTTTTAAAACGCAATTATGTGTTAATTGCAGATGGCACCACAAGTTACAGCGGTCACGGAGCCGGTAACTCTAGGCGAGGGTCCGCACTGGGACAGCGAGGAGCAAGCGCTTTACTTCGTCAGCATCTTCGACAAATCCATCCACAAGTACGACCCAGCCACCAAGAAGCACACGCGGTCCGTCTTAGGTGATATATAATTGTTGAATTTTATTTTTTATTATGATGTTATAAATATATTAATGTAGTGTAGAACCACACTGCAGCTATTTTATGGTTGTAGCACGAATGGGTCGGCTTAACCGGGTCGGGTGGGATGGGACCACGCTCTCACAGAACACCAGCGTAAAATAGCAGCTTAGTAGTAATATATAATAGTAGACACAGCATAGTAGCAGTGTCTCTTGTATCTCATCCTCTATATTCCCGTGGGTGTAGTAAGAAGCTACAGAGGGAAACTTTAACAAGCGTAGGGTTTAACACCACTTTCCTGATAACAAAGAAAGATAATAAGAAAACTGCAGTTGCCAAAGCGCCTGTCAAGCGTTGCAACTATTATACGAGGGTGGATTGAAAAGTACTCGGCCTAACCAAGAAAATAAACAAATACTAAATCAGTTATATTTTTATTTTTCTACATAATCACCATCAAGTTCAATACACTTTTGCCACCTCCCCTTCCAAGCATTAGACCGTTGAAAAAAAATGATTCTTCCTTAGAGTCAAAATATGCGTCTACAGCTGCTTTGACCTCGTCGTTTGTCGAAAATCTTTGACCTCCCAAGTGCTTTTTTAGGTTAGGGAACAGAAAGAAGTCTGATGGTGCCAGATCAGGTGAATACGGCGGATGCGGTAACAGTTCAAAGCCACAGTTGTGAATTTCAGCCATTGACTGTACTGACTTGTGAACACGGGCGTTATCTTGATGAAACAGGACTTTTCTTCTGAGCATTCCTCGACGTTTTTCTTTTATTTCCTCTCGTAAACGACGTAGTAAGGTGCAGTAGTAATCAGAGTTTATATTCTGACCCCTTTCAAGATAATCAATCATAATCACACCTTTCGACACAAGAATACAAACAGTATTCTTCAGTAGCCATCACATTATTTGCCGACAAAATCGACTTAGCCTTTTTAGGGGGTGGTGAACCAGGTCTTCTCCACTGTTTTGATTGTTGTTTTGTTTCCGGTGTACAGTAATGAACCCATGTTTCGTCCATAGTAACAAAACGATTCAAAAAATCATCTGCATCGGCTTCAAATAACTCCAAACAGTCGCGTGAAATAGTCAATCGCGTCCTTTTTTGTTCAACTGAAAGCAGTCGCGGAACCCACCTCGCAGACACCTTGTGGAAACCCAACTCGTTGACAATGATGTTTTGAGTTCGTTCATAAGAGATGCCTATAATCTCGGCTATCTCTCTAATTTTTAATCTGCGGTCTCTCATTATTAAATCAAGTACTTTTTTAATATTTTCGTCAGTAGTTGACGTCGAAGGCCTTCCAGAGCAGGGTTCATCTTTCACACTCTCTCTACCACGCTTAAATTCTGCTATCCATTTTTTGACGGATGAATATGACAGAGCACAATCGCCTAATGTACTGACCATGTCATCATGGATGGCTTTTGATGATAGCCCCTTCTTATGGAGGTACTTAATGACGGCACGCTGCTCGATTTGCTCCATTCGCGGAAATTATGTCCGATTACTTTGTTAATAAATTTATAAAATCACAACTAATTATCGCACACGTTTCGAACTTCACACAATGAACTAGTCTGAACTGAACTAAATAATTTGGGTAGATTTGATTTTTAGAATTGAATGGATCTGTGTTAGGCCGAGTACTTTTCAATCCACCTTCGTATTTTATATAATTATTATATATTATATTTTATTTACGTGGTAGAGCCACGCTGCAGCTATATTAAATAGCTCGCGGTAAACTCCCCAAATGATATATAATAAAATAAAATAAATAAAATTCTTCTCCTACTTTCGCCGAATCATTGCTTAATCAAAATAAGGCTTGTTAAAATACTTTTAAATTCCATAGAGTATTGCCAAAAGATATCGTTAAATATTTTAAAACTCACCGTACGGGGACGGTGATCGCGGACAGCTAACACAACCGCACGGGGGCGGCGGCGCTAGCTGAGGCTGGACGAGACGGGACTGACGTTTTATTCCTCGACTGAAATGACTGAGAAATTCCTGTACGGGGACGGGTGCTCAGTCAGCTAGCGGACTCCGCTAGCGCACGACTGCACGGGGGCGACGGCACAAGCAGAATGTGTACCCATTCGTGCTACAACTATACTACCAATATAGCTGCAGCATGGCTCTACGTCTCTATGGCTTTCTACGTTGGAAGCTGTCTGCAGGTGTCAATGGGCTGCAGTAGCCACTTACCATCAGGTGTGAGTTGGTTTGTCACTTCAGTCTCATCAGCTCTATACCTGTCTCTTTCTATCGTCATTTCAAGAAGTGAATGGAGAAAGATAAACTTTAAGCATTTCTTAAGTTGTCGTGGTCTTTTATGAGCAAAGCCGTATAATAAATTTAATTATAAAAATGTATTTGCATGCTATTATAGATGGCTGAAAAAGCTAAACTACTCTTTATAATAACCACCTAAATGTACCCCTTTTTCAAAGCAAATAAATCTTCATTTCATTTCATTTCATAAGATTACTAAAATATACATTATACAGTACCGAATGCTTATTTCTTTTAGATGACCAGGTGACTTTCATAATACCCGTGGAAGGTAAACGTCACCACTTCGTGGTGGGTCTTAAGCGCCGCATCGCGGAGGTCATCTGGGACGGTCAGGACGGTACCGCTAAAGTGGTGCGCACCGTTGCTGAAGTGGACAAACATTGTCCCGACAACAGGTTGAATGACGCAAAAACGGATCCCAGAGGACGTCTCTTTGCAGGTGAGATAAAATCATTTATTTATGGAATAAGTTTTGACAATCGAGCACACAGTCCACCGGACGATAAACGGATGCTATAGACCATGGCATATTCAAATTCAAATCAAATGCAGATGCTTTGTCACACCTGAGGATTGTGATGGAATGCCTCGTTTCCAGTAAAAACGTGTCTCCGGCTCTTTACACTCGCCATACGAAACATATCAACATAATAATCTGCTATTTTACGCTGGATTCTGTGAAAACGTGGTCCCTTCCCGGTCGAGTCGACCTCCTTCCTCCGTGAAACAGATTCTAGTTTTAATTTATACTAATTGTAAACTACATTTTGTAATAAGACCGTTCGTATAATTAGAACTACTTTTATTTATTCTGTGACGTAACGAAGTGATTGCCCTTAAATGAAGTTGTTAGCTATGAGTAAAGACCGGATTATCACCATCATCATTACAGCCCTTCACAAGTCCACTGCTGAACATAGGCCTCCCCCAAAGAATGCCACAAAGCACGGTCCTGAGCCACCTGCATCCATCGACTTCCTGCATGTCTTACCAGGTCGTCACTCCATCTCGTGGGGGGACGTGGTAGTTACCGGCATAGGTGTGACATGGACATTAAACATGATCTTAGTTTTGTCCATGTTCATCTTAAGACCTATCCGTTGGGAAAGACCGGATTATATGCAACATAAAAATCCCAAAATATTCATGCAAATATGCAAGAATAAATAGCTAAAATATGCAAGAAAATCCATATAAAGGGCCAAAAATGCAACATGAAATAATAAAAAAGTCGTATTTTAAATGTTTTTTTTTTAAACCTATTACTTCTCAACGATAACAATCGTATTTGCGAAAAATACAAAATATATTTAACAATGAAATTTACAATTTACTTTTAAAAATGTATACGACATATACATATACTATATATATGTATACGTAGGTAGATTTAAAAAAAAATGCGTGAGTGTTGTGGAACACTCGGTTGGAACGAAGTACCTTTCGTAGTATATTATTATTGATAAACGTTTTATATTATAGATTAACAAATACAAACAAATGAATTACTAATATAATATTCTATTCTATATAATTTTATATTTATTCTATAACAAAATATTGTTTATTAATGTATATATTATATTATATTAATTATTAACATCTTTAATGTCAACGTAACGTTCACTACTAAGCGAGGCGGTGGAAGAAGGTCATCAATTCACCATAAATGTTTCTACAGTTATCCCGTTCATAATTTTACAGGTACAATGGGCCACGAATACGAACCGGGGAAGTTCCACCTCAAGAAAGGCTCTCTGTACCGCATCGACCCGGACGGGAAGACGAAAAACCTGGCTGATAACGTGGACATCTCCAACGGATTGTGCTGGGATATCAAGGAAAAGGCGTTCTACTATGCAGACTCGTTTGAATATGCGATCCGTCGCTATGATTACGATATCGAAACTGGGGACATCTGTAAGTAGCTTTTTTTCATACATTTATACAGTTTATCGAAGTCCGAACAGCCTACCCATTGATTCCCTCTTAAAGAGGATATTTGACATAGTTGCCACGCTTGGGAGGCGGGTATTATCTGGTTAAGCAAATAGAAACCTGTTAAAATAGACGTCTCCGTGGCGCAGTGGCTTAGCAATGACTTGCAGCGCTAAGGGCCGCGTGTTTGAATCCCACACAGAACAAGTATCCATATGGCCTACACATAATTGTCCCGGTTATGGATGTTAGTCTTTGTGAATTTTTTTTATAGGATAGGGTGACAAACGAGCACACAATCCACCTGATGTTAAGTGGTTGCTGTGGCCCATAGACATCTAAATCTATCCTCAATAAAGATTCAAAATGCAGATGCGTTGTCACCATGAAGCTATATTTGCTTCATGGTTGTCACCCGTGAGGACTAAGATGGAATGCCTCGGTTTCCAGTAAAATGGGCCTCCGGTTCTCTACACTCACCATACGAAACACAGCAGCATTAAGCTGCTATTTTACGCTGGTATTCTGTGAGAGCGTGGTCCTTCCCCGGTCCGAGCCGACCCATTCGTGTTACAACTATACCAGAAATATAGCTGCAGCATGGCTCTACCACGTATAAAGTTTTGTATTATTTATGTATGTAAACTGCCCCCACGATACAGGAGAAAATCCTAGTATGGAGGTAATGTATTTTTATTATGAGAAATAGAAGAAAATTTATAAATTACGTGGTAGAGCCATGCTGCAGCTATATTAATAGTATAGTTGTAGCACGAATGGGTCGGCTCGATCGGGGAGGGACCGCGCTCTCACAGAATACCAGCGTAAAATAGCAGCTTAACGCTGCTGTGTTTCGTATGCTAAGTGTAGAGATCCAGAGGCCTATTTTACTGGAAAAGAGGCAATCTATCTTAGTCCTCACGGCTGACAACGCATCTGCATTTCAATTCGCAAACGAAGATATATGTAGATGTCTATGGGCCACAGCAATCACTTACCATCAGGTGGACTGTGTGCTCGTTTGTCACTCTAATTCTATAAAAAAAAAAAGAATTACCAGGTTTTATTAAAACAAACTTAATTTATTTTTATTACTGTTTTGATCTTTTGATGTCCACGTTTTTAAGAATTACGCAGACTATTTTTATATCCTTAAGATTTCAGCACTTAAAAATTCGGCAATATTTTGCAGCAAACCCGAGGTTTGTGTTCAACTATAAAGACCACGGCTTGGAAGGCATTGTCGACGGTATGACCATCGACACGGATGGTAATCTTTGGGTTGCCAACTTCGACGGCCATCAGGTAATAAAATTTACATATTTATTGATTAACTAGCGATCCGCCCCGGCTTCCCGCGGTTGACTTCTGGATCTCGACAACAGCGCCACCTACCAGGTCCAAACGTGAATCTAAACCATTCATTCAAACACACAAAAATTCATCAAAATCGGTCGAGCCGTTTTTGCGTTTTAACGAGACTAACGAACAGTAATTGATTTATGTATAGCTGGCCAGGCAGACATTGTTCTGCCCTTTCCAATGACCATTTGCTTTCTTAAAAACACTCCTGAAATTCGCAATAAAAATTTTTGAGGGTCATTTAGCGGGATAAATACTATCCTATCTCTCAAGTTGGACCAAACTGCACACAGTGTGCAAAATTTCATTGAAATCAATTCAATTGTTTTGGAGTCCATCGCGGACAAACAACGTGACACGTAATTTTTATATATAAAGATATATATATATAGAGTCCATACGTGGTAGAGCCATGCTGTAGTTATATTATAATAGTATCACGAATATTGTGAGTTTAGAGCACCGGAGACCCTTTTTACTGAATACGACGCATTGCACCATAGTCCTCAGGGGTGACAACGCATCTGCACTTTTATTTTTAACTGAGAATTGATAAATATGTGTATGGATCACAGCATCCCTTTACTATCATGTGGACTATGTGGTCGTTTGTCACCCTTATTCTATAAAAAGTCACACCTATAAAATGTCCCAGTACAGTATGTACTCTCATTTTTAATAAGTTATCTATACATATAATAAAAATGTAAATAGCAGACGTCTGTACATTTTATATTTTTGTAATAAAAGTGATTGAGAGATACTAAAAATAAGCAAAAAATACATTTCTAACGTTTTTAGAATTGTCTGTTTGTCTGTCAGTCTGTTTGTTTGTTTGTTAACGTATCACATATAAAGTACTAATTTATATCATGAGAATCGTTAAGGAAATTATAAAGTGTATCTTCGGGTTACATTTAGTCTTTACTTCATTAAAATCAGTTCATTCCATCAAAAGTTATGATAAATATTCTGAAGTATGGGTACGAGGTATATGTACGAATTTGTTCAATGGTAGCGTTGATTGAGTCATAAAGTGCATTTTAAACTAATATCATATTATAAATCATAATTAAATGATATAATTATATCTAAAACGCAGTAAACAAAAGTATTAAAGAAAAAGAACGTAATAAGTATATACAAAAATATATTAATCTTATAATCTAAGTCTAAAGTACAATAGTTAACCAATATCATCGATAGATGGCGGTGTTGTAAAAATGTAATACAAAACAGGCAGGTTGTGGTTTTTTCCTGTAGATGAGTTTTCATATTTGCTGCTAATCTTTATATTAATCGTTGGCCTACTGCGTGTTGACAAACTCAATTATTCTTTACCGCCGAGTAATCTAATTATTAACTAACTATTAAGTAATCTAATTGGTAAATAAAATTTTAAAAGAGCTATTAACAATTTTGTTGGTTTCGGCTAGGATCAAACCTTCTTTTTTGTTTACTATGCACGCACTGATTTATAAGTGTTTTTATGTTTATATAATGTATCAATGGCGTCAATTAATCTCTTTTATTTTTAGAATTGATGTTAACAGCGCCATCTCTCTTTAAATATATACATATAATAAACATGGTGATAACATGTGTCTGTTTATGTACATTGTATAGTAGGTATGTTTGTGACTAAAATCATTATGGAGACTGAAAATCATTAGGTAAATAAGTACATTTTTATATCTTTTAGAATTGTCTGTCTGTCGGTCTGTCTGTTTGATTATGAACGCATAATGTTTTGAGTAAACATCTTTTTTGCAAAGAAGTCGTTAAGAAAATCATAAAGCGTATATTCGAGTTCATTTGTAATCTTTGTTTTATTAAACTTGGTTAATTCTATCGAAAGTTATGTTTATTATTTTTAAATCTAGGTTCGAATCTGTTTAAAGGCGCCATAAAACTCAGAAATAGTAATAAAAAGATTCGTGTGTAAAAAAAAACGTTCTTGTTACGGCGTGCAGCTGCCTATCCAAGAGTAGGATCTTCCCGGCCCATGAAGGAAGATCCCACAAGCAGATGCAGGTCGGGCCTCCTAAAGCCAAAGTGGAAAATCTCTAATTACAATAAACAATAAGGGGGAGCGTTCTATCCTACTGCCATTCAACAGGGAGAATATTAAAACCGAGCTTACCTACCTATATCCAAGGCGACTTCGGTTCGGTCCGGTCGCATGTGGTTGTGTGGTGCATGGGAAGTCAGGGTCAGTGATGTGTATCTGTGTGTGACTGAGTGTGGTAGACCTTATGAGAGCGTTGCCGTCGGCAGCAGCTCGGACTTCAGCACCGCTCCAAATTGTGGTAATCTTCCGCGGAGTCGTCCACAGTCACATTCTTCGTTCGTCACGAGGACAGTCCTTAACTTTATCTCACAATTAACTAACTTCCAGAAACCACTAACTCTAATTTGTTATAAAGCGTAACACCCAACACAAATACAGAATGTCGGTCTATACGAAATCCCGTTACTATAAGCAAAAGCGTAACACACCGCACGAACACAAGTGTCCGGATCAAAGTTAACTACCGTTTCGCGTGGCAATAATTATTTCTAGAATATCAAATGCCGCAGTAGTAGCTAATATTGTCGAACACCCTTATAAAGATTCTAAGTTAGACACAAGAAGTCCCGGGAAAAGCTCTCAAACAAGGAATGCGCGATACGAATGCTAGACCGTATATTTACTAGACGCGCCTAAACTATTCCGCGTTCCCGCACAAAAAATGACAGCGTGCTGTCCCAAGCACAGCTGGCAAACGACTCCTGCGCTCGCGCGCCCTCGCCACACCGCTCGACCGAACCTCAAAACCGGTATGGCGCCGAGCCGAGCGCCCTCTGGCGTCAAATTCCGAAATCAGCGTTCGGGCGTGAACAGTTCTATTATAATATACTTAAAACACAGTAAACAAAAAATACATTTCCTTAAATTAAAAAAAGGATGTTTTCTCACAAAGAACGTAACAGATCGCGTTGTATAAATTAAAACTTTTTCTGAATTGCGTTGGCGCCCCTTTTTTCCTAAAGGGGGTCGCGTCTGATTCGGCAGGAAGACCATAATGGCCAACGCCAGTCCCACAGGTGGTGTTTAGTGGGTAGGCACTTCTTCAGCAGCGTGGTTAAGTGAGTCCCACATAACCACGCTGCCGGCTGCCGTGGTATGCTAAGAGCATTCACCACCTCCCTCCCCCGCTTCCAGAGGGTAGCCTCGCTTTGGGCGCAAAAGAAAAAAAAAGAATTGCGGTGTTAAGATTTTTCGCTTTTTTTTAATCGTATTGAGACTCACTGAAGAAATTTGTACCCATGAGTACGATGAAGTTGAAAGAGCCGTGTAGGCTAACAGCACAAACATCACCAGAAACCAGAAAAGAAACACGCCCACCCAAGCTATGCAACGAAACTCGATTAAAAACTAACAAAATTGCAACAAAATGTCGTGATATTGTTTTTATACCCAGAATCACTCTAATCCCAAATAACTTTCCTTTCACTTTTAAGCGTGTTAAGTTCCCAGTCTGCGTGTTATGCGACGACCGTAAATAAAGCGCAAGCTCAAACTTTACGCGTTCCAGGAGTGGGCCTCATTACTAACTGTTTTGCACATGGCCAACTCTATGTTGCTTTTTCCAGCGTTATCCTATAACCTATTTGTGTACCTACGCCCCGGCTGCCTACTTATAACGTCGTTTACACAGAAGCTCTATCATAAACGACTTAAAACTTTGAGGATAACAATTTATTTTGTTACCACTTATTGATACAGTAATGATATAAATCGTTTAATAGTCTCTTACCTAAACGTGAAATTCTTTAAGTAAAACTTATATACGCGAGCTACGCCGCGGGCACAGCTAGTAATAGAATAAGGAACATAATGCTGTTAAATCTTACCGTTACCATTACAGCATAATGCAAAGCGTCGCAAGTATAGATTTTATTATTTGTTGTTTATAGAAAGACACTGTTGCTCATCTCCTATTTCGTTTTCATCTGTCTTCTCTTACGACACTCACGGGACGATATAATATAATAGGTAATAAATGTTTAATTTCTTTAAGATTACAAACATAAACAGTATAGTAGATGGGTCCTCCTAGTAAGTTTAAAAGAAAACCTGTGTCAGGAGTCCACGCTCTTTCTTAACAGCTAAATGGAAAAGCATTTTATTATATTGTTATTAAATTAAACTAGAAATCTCCTATATCAAGTATCAGTGGCGATTTAGACAAAAAGGTAATTACATTTAAATGTGAGTATTTAAATGTAATTGTGTGTAAGTGCGTGCGTGCGTGCGCGTGTATGATGATTAAATAGTTTACAATTTACGAAATATGGTGTAAGTGCCTCAAGGTCGTCGTAATTCTGCGTTTTCAACCAGGTGATTACAGTTTTTTTTTAAATCGCGGCGAGTTGCTGTATCAATGTCCAATAAACCGTTAATGCTGTTCTAAAGGTACTCAGAATTCACAGTATTTTGACTTTTAGATATGGGGTAGTGGATATTCTTACACCATCACTACACACTGGTTGATAGCGCAAATCGTTATATTACTACAATACTAGTAGAAACTATCTCATGTCACATTTCATCGAAATACTTTTCGTTTTCTGACATGGAGTTACGCGGTTAATCAGGTCAATTGCAATTATAGATTACAGTAGTGTCATCACCGGGAACCGAACTCATGTTGATTGTCTCTTATAATTTATAAAAAGAAGCAGTTGATACGGCTTCTTAATGAAGAATTGAAGTTATAATTTTTAATCGAATCGATATTTTTCTAGGTGTTAAAAATAGACCCCAAGAAAGGCAAACTTCTCGAGAAAATTCGAATCCCCGCGCTTCAAGTTACATCAGTTATCTTTGGCGGACCTAACCTGGACATCTTGTACGTAACCTCGGCCTGTATGAACCGAGGAGTGGAGCAAAAGCCGCCATGTGGTTCAACCTTCCAGGTCACTGGACTCGGAGTAAAAGGCCTTCCTAGTGTCAGTGTAAAGCTTAACTAAATTTGCTGTGATTGTTTTATTTGTTAATTGTTAAAGTTAATAAAAATTTATAGAAATCGATGCGTTTTAGTAATAATTTTATAGAAGTGCTTTATACAAGTCTTTTTCAGCCTACAGAAGGCATTCGACACTGTTAACGATAAAGGACTTTTCCATAAAGTTAATGAGAAAATGCTAAACTCTATGTATCCCATATTTGCTTTTGGTATATATAACCAGAGTGATATTTCTATGAAAACAGGGATAAAAATGATCTTCACTACTGTTACGCTCTACTATGGCTTACTGTGGCGCTCCACACTACTATATCGCGGCTGGAGTACCCCAAGGCTCTATATTAGGCCTAGACGATTACAAGATTTTCCAAAGAAAAAACTTAGGTAATATACATTTTACTGGTTGAAATTTACCTAACACTTAATTGTATCGAATACATTTGATTACAGTCGGGCAAAAGGCTAATAGGGTGGGTGTACCAGTCCCAAACTAGGTACCAGTGGTTGACTACTCATATGTTCAATTGAATAAATTAAGAAATGGCGGGCATTTTTTAAGAATTCAATAGTTTTGTTATGTAGCTTAGACCATAGCCAATGTTCCGAACATCATTTTTTGCGAGAGTAAACGAAATATACCGATACCTAGCTCTTTGTCTCAGACCAGTGTCTCGTTTACTGCCTTTCGGCCACCATTACAGTTAGACTTGCACGTCGACATGATAAGTTCAATATTTTAATATTACCTATTATTTCCTAATTACTGTCATCAAGTTGTATTATTTTATAAGTTTTGTGTATATTTAAGTGCTATGTGGTGGTATTTTTATTAAATATAGACATTATCAAGTATTTTTAAAGGTGGTTAACTAATGGAACACACCTTGTACTGAGTTCCTATTGTTGACCAACTGGTTTGCAACTGGTTGCTTATGGTGTTTCTTTTTTTTTGTTCTTTGTTTTCATAGCGATGCTTTTGTTTGACAATTTGGAGCTTAAAGCCAATTATTAAAACCGTTTCATGCGGTGAGCCCCAGTAGTTGACCACTGGTTTGCTATTGGTACACAGTAGTAAAAACGTGTTCCTATGGATGACCACCAGATTAGAGTTTTAACTTTTTTCGTTGTTTCATATTAAAGACTGACCCAAAAAGACATTTTTTAAATATACAGAGCTAAATTTGCTTAAATATCTCGATGAAATTCATAAAGGTGCTAAAATAAGGCGAATATGTCGAAAATATCATATGCCTCACCCGACTGTTGTAAACAAACTGAAAATGAGATATTCTCAACGAAAAATGGGACCACCAACTATACAAGATATACCCTATATACCCTACAAGAAGAGTTTGTATTATCTAGGTGGGTTAACGCTAACGCGAAAAATGATTGTTTATTGAAAATAGTTAGCCAAATAATAAGAGAGCACATCTTTAACTGATTTTGTACCTGGATTATCAATCCAACAGCCAGAAGAAAAGGAAGTTGCCCTACTCCCACAGGATTTTTTTTAGGATAAGGTTGACAAACGAGTCCAACTGATGGTATGTGGTTGCTGTGGCCCATAGACATCTACATCTAACCTCGATTCCGAATCAAAATGCAGATGCGTTGTCAACCGTGAGGGCTAAGGTGGAATGTCTCATCATTACAGCCCTTCACAAGTTCACTGCTGAACATAGACCTCCCCAATTAATTCCACAAAGCACGGTCCTGAGCCACCTGCATCCATCGACTTCCTGCATATCTTACCAGGTCGTCACTCCATCTGGTGGGGGGACGCCCTACACTTCGCCTGCCGGTACGAGGCTGCCACTCGAGAACCTTTTTTCACCATCGGTTGTCGGTTCTTGGAGCTATATGGCCGGCCCATTGCTACTTTAGCTTACTAATCCGTTGGGCTATGTCGGTCACTCTGGTTCTACTGCGGATATCCTCATTTCTAAATTTATCACGCAGAAAAACTCCGAGCATAGCCCTCTCCATAGCTCGCTGAGCGACCTTGAGCTTCCTTATCCGGCCAGCAGTGAAGGACCACGTCTCAGTTCCATATGTCATCACTGGCAGCACGCACTGGTTGTACAGTCTCGTTTTCATGTTTTGAGGTATACCTGACGAGAAGATGCGCCGTAATTTCCCGGACGCTGCCCAACCGAGTTGAATCCGTCGATTGACCTCTCGGTCGAAGTTGGACTTACCTAGTCGGACTATTTATCCCAGGTAAACATACTCGTCAACAACTTCGAGCTTAGTGCTCCCAACAACTACCGGCATAGCTGTGACATGGACATTAAACATGATCTTTGTTTTGTCCATGTTCATCTTAAGACCTATCCGTTGGGATACACTATTGAGGTCATTGAGCATAGTGCTTAGGTCCTCCAGCGATTCTGCCATAAGGACTATATCGTCGGCAAATCGAAGGTGAGTGATGTACTCGCCATTGATGTTGATACCGTATCCTTTCCAGTCCAGAAACTTGAAAACGTCTTCCAATGCAGCGGTGAAGAGTTTCGGAGATATGACGTCACCCTGTCTTACACCTCTCTGCAATTGGATTGGTTTCGTACTCTGGTTCTGTACTCGGATAGCCATCGTAGCCTTAATGTACAAGCACTTCAACACTTCGATATACCGACAGTCAACTTGGCACCGCTGAAGGGACTGCAGCACCGCCCAAATTTCGAAGGAATCAAAGGCTTTCTCATAGTCCACATACGCCAGACATAGTGGCAAATTGTACTCCTCGGACTTCTGTACGATTTGCCGAAGGGTATGTATGTGGTCTATGGTGCTAAAGCATTTTTGGAAACCGGCTTGTTCGGGAGGCTGGAAGTCGTCAAGTCTGCGCGCGACACGATTCGTAATGACTCTCGAAAACAGCACGTAGACGCGGCTCAGAAGGGAAATCGGTCTGTAGTTCTTCAAGAGAGCGTTGTCACCTTTCTTGAAGAACAAGACCACCGCACTTTTGCTCCACACCTACGGTGTAATGCCACCATGGAGGACGGAATTAAAGAGCTTCTGAAGGACTTCAAGTACCGGTTTGCCACCCGCTTTCAGAAGCTCTGCTGTAATTCCATCCTCGCCGGGGGCCTTGCCGTTTTTAAGGTGCTGGAGAGCCATTCTAATCTCGCTCAGACTGATGTCCGGGATATCTTCGGAATAGTGTCGGATAAGACTCGCTCTTGGATCGTTACTCATACTTGCGTGTGGCTCCAACGATGATGTGTACAGCTGCCCATAGAACCTCTCAATCTCACTCAAAATCTCAGGTGTCCCGGAAACGACGCTGCCACACTCGGTCTTCAGCTTCGACAGTTGGCTCTTTCTGGCAGACAGATCTCTAGCAAAGACTTTGGAGCCCTGGTTCCGCTCGATCGCTTCTTCAATATGAGTTAAAGTTGCGTAAGTCCCGCCGCATGCATTTGGAGATCTGTCTGTTCAGTTGCCTGTATGCTGTCAAATCTACTGAAGACTGCATATTCATTTCCCGTCTAACAGCCATGAGATTAAGAGTGTGATCGGAGATTTTTTGTGTTCTTCTGCGGCGGGTCTTGCAAAACTTAGCTCCGACCGCATTGACAGTTTCCACGAGCTTGTCATTCATATCGTCCACTGCATTGCAATCTTCTAGGCACTGAAAGCGGTTTCGTAGCTCGAGCTGAAAGTTTTCGGAACTTTGGATTAGAGTACGAGGGGGACGGAGCGTTGACTTCATTAGACGTGACCTCTCCAACTTAACGTTTAGGTTCAGTATGCCTCTCACCTTTCGGTGATCGCTGCCGGTTTTCACCCTCGCGATCACTGAGACATCACTGAACAGTTGTCGTCTGGTCGTCACAATGAAGTCAATCTCATTTTTTGTCGAACCGTCGGGGCTCGACCAGGTCCACTTCCTGTGGGGCCGCTTCTGGAAGAAAGAGTTCATCATAAAGAGTCCCTCTTTCTCCATGAAGTCGGCCAGCTGCTGGCCCCTTGGGTTTCGTTGCCCTATTCCAAAATTCCCTACTTTCAGCTCACCGTTCTCTCTTGTGCCTAGTTTTGCGTTGAAGTCTCCCATTAACACCGTATAGTGGGTTTTGGAGGAATGCATGGCTCTAGAGATATCCTCATACATTTCCTCCACCTCCTTATCGGGGTGTGCCGAGGTTGGTGCGTAAACCTGTATTACCTTCAGCGAATACCGTTTGGTGATTCTGAGTATAAGGTACGCAACTCTCGTCGACACACTCCCAATCTTTACAACGTTGTTAACGAGAGACTTGTGGACGATAAATCCTACACTTCCTTGGGACAGATGGTCGCCCTCCCGGTGATAGAACAAGTTGCCGGATTCAAGGATTACCGTGTCCTCCCCCTCTCTTCGGACCTCGGATAATCCTATGATATTCCAGCGCAACTTGTCTATCTCTTCTTCCCACTCCAGGATCTTCTCGTCAGTCCTCAGGGTGCGTGCGCTAGTAAGTTGCCAGGTCGAGTCGTCGTAGGTGGCAACCGAACCTCCACCGGAGATTCTTAGCACCCCCTGCCCCGCCGTTACCATGGTCGCCACCGTAGGCAGGAATAGCGGGGCCGCCGGGAACTGGGGGCCGTCTCTTTGTTACTCTCATCATTTGTGGGGGGGGGGGGGGGGGGTTCCATAGTTGCCACGCTTGGCAAGCGGGTTGGCAACCGCAGTTTCCAGTAAAAAGGGTATCCGGTTCTCTACACTCACCTGACGAAACAGAAGCGTTATGCTGATATTTTACGCTGGTATTCTGTGAGAGCGTGGTCCTGCCTCGGTCCAACTGACCCATTCCTGCTACAACTATACTACTAATACAGCTGTAACATGGCTCCACGTAAAAAATCTTGAAGTGACACCACCAAAAGCCAAAGGTCTGTCTACCTTTGACTTTTGGTGCACCTAACACCTAAACAACTATTTCCCTGGGAAAATCAAAAACATTGATGGATGTAACGCTGAAGTCAGTACCATGACGTTATCATCTACGACCATTTTCAAATGGCTTGAAAAAGACGATTATATTGTATGACCGTGACAGCATCATTGGAGTTATATAAGCACCTGTTTCTATAAATACCAGAGGTCCCTACAAGGTTGAAGACATGGCCAAATTTTTGCAATGAATCCTACTAATATTATAAATGTAAAAGTTTGTGAGGATGTATGGATGTTTGTTACTCTTTCACGCAAAAACTACTGAATGCATTTTAATGAAACATTACTATAATATAGCTCATACATTAGTATAATACATAAGCTATAATTCATAAAAATATTGTGTAAATTGACCAAAATATAACAATAAATGTGTAAGTCTGAAGAAAATCTGTCGTCTGCGAGCTATTTTGGCATGAACACGCATCACGCAAAAACCTGTGGAACTTTTACTGGCAGATAGCTGATGTTATAAGGAGTAACTTAGGCTACTTTTATTTTATGGTTCCGCGCAAAAATTTCCACGCGGGCGAAATCGCGGGGAACAGCTAGTATAAGATAAAGCTTTCAAGTGGTTTTGGTAATTTTACGGTTTCTAGATAAGATTTTGTCAAAATATGTGATACGACTGATTTATTTAATTCAAAGACTGTGATAGGTGATACTGATAATTTATGTGCAAAGCTATTTTTCTATTGTAGTTTGCTAATAAGCGTTGTTAACCTTAATGTTCTAATTGCCATGATTGTCTTCTAATTAGTTACCTTCGACTGTGCCATTAAAATTGGTTGTACGTCTAGATAAACTTTCAGACATATGAAAGTCAATTTGTGTAACAAAATAGTGTTTTATTTTCAATTAGCTACCTTTTCTTGATAAGTTTTTCAGTGGTCAACTATTGGCGCAAAAGTGGTCATTTATTGGAGCGCATTGGGCAAACTTAGGCACATTCCCGTTTTTCGTATAATTAATGAAATCTATAAAAAACTTAAATATTTGGAATCAAATAATTTATCTATATTGCAACATTAGTGATCAATAAACAACTTTGTATATACATTTCTATGTTAAAATTAAATAATACCAGTTCAGAGCATTTCGAAGTGAAAATGTGTCCTTAACTGGTTTGGGACTAGTACCTACACCCACCCTATATAAGGAATCAAGGGTAGACTCTGATGAAATGCTTAATGGTATAAATTTTAAAATATGTGGTAACACATACGTACGTACATGTTTCGGGTCGTCTTACACTGCCAAAACAAACCAAGGCAAAAAATTTATATAGAAATACTATAATATCTTTTCTCTAAGATCCCTAAGTAGGAGCACCGGAAAAGATGCGTTAGAACCGGTGCCAACTCCGGAGCACACGTCCTCAACACTATTGGGGGGATTCCGTCAGGCCCATTCGACTTGCTGACGTCCATGGAAAGAAGTGCTTTGCGAACCGAGCGCTGTGTGAACCGCTCATTCGGCATTGAGCACTCTAACCGCGGGATTGTCGGCGGTGTGTTCCCCCCGTCATCGAGGACACAAAGAAAAAGCCTAGCAGATCGGCTTTCTCCTTTACGGCATGGTCCTATGAGTCGTTCTCTCTGTGCAGAGATGGAAAAGATGGCTGACAGAAGTTCCCTTGGACAACCTTGGCGAGAGATCAGAATGCACGGGTTCCCGAAGGAAGGCGAAGTAGTTTCTCGCCAATTCTGCCTATATGCTCTGACTTTGCCCTGACAATGACTCTTTTGAAGGACCTGGAGGCGGAATTATAATTATCTTTAAGGGCGCTGGTGTTTACATCTCGAGACGTTGATGCGTCAGCCCAGGCCCGGTAGCACTCCTGCTTGTAGCGTGGTGCTATTTTACAAGAGCGAATAAGCCATGGCTGAGATCTGCCTCCGATGGCCACCACAGAGGAAGGAATAAAAAGTTCCATACCCTGAAGTACCACATCAGCAACAAAATTAGCAACAATGTTGGGATCGTCCAGCGAGAAGTAAACCCGCCCCCAAAGGTAGGATGCAAACAAAAACCGCATTCCATCCTAAACGGCCAACCTATAGTGCCAAACACGGCGGCAGCCTGCAGAAAGCAACCGCGATTTCAACGTGAGTGGCACAACACTCCAAACGAGACAATAGTGTGAGAAGCCAAGCAGGGCGTTGATGGAAACTTGATATCTGTCCGGATGAGAGGTCAACAGAAGGTCCAACAGGGAAGGTGCATGATCCTCATCTGGAATCCGCGTAGGCGTAGTAACCAGTTGTGTCAGACCATATACCAAGGCAAAATCATGAACTGATCTCCCCGCATGATCGGTTAAACATGAACCGAACCATTCGGCATGGTGGGCATTAAAATCGCCAAGGATTACGATCTCTGCGGATGGGACCTGTTGTAGCACGGAGTCTGCAGCCATTTGGACGTGGTCGATGAGTCGGTCTATTTCGGCATTACTGCTATGGGACCTATAGAGGCACCCGTAGACGCGCGGATGGTCGTCGCTGTCTACGCGTAGCCAAAGGATGGACAGGTCCGAACCTTCAAGACTGCCGAGGCGTCGTGAACCGATGTTCTATCTGACGTATACGCAAACTCCAGCCCGAGGCACAAAGGAGTGTTCTAATTTGTACCCCGGGTAGGAGAGATACGAAGTATCAGCCGGAGAGGACACCTGCGTCTCGGTCAGAAAGAGCAAGGCCGGCTTCGCCGTCTCGAGAAGGTAGTGGACGGCGTTTAGGTTAGAGTGAAGTCCCCTGATGTTGCATAAATTCACGGATAGCGTGGCAGGGGTTGCCTTGGTCTTGCTGAGCAGTTTTCCCCGAGCAGTTATTGTTTTGAGAGGAATTTTGCCACCCCAAAAATACACGGGACAGCCTGAACACCCACGCTCAGGACTAGAGTAGCTTGGTCGTGGATGCTCAGCGAGGGATTCTCTAGGGGTGCTGGTACCCTCCTGGGGTAGTCTTTCATTTAATTCCGCCACCTTATTGATGGGGAGAGAGGGGAATTGTGCCTCCGGCCACCTGAATTCACCAGACGAAACGCAGAAGCAGAGCTTCCACTTCACGCCGGTATTCTGTGTGAGGTCGTGGTACCAACTCGGCTCGAACCGGCCCAAGCTGTAAAAGCTGCCGCGTGGCTCTACCACCGTTAGAAATTGTTTGAAGTGTAAGTATAGAAAAAGAAAATAAAAGATTGTAATAAGTAAGATTATTTAGAAAACACTAAACTTATTGACTCTTCGAATAAGTGGCCTTGAATTGAAAAAAAGTTAAATTAAAATTAATTCTAATTAAAATATATTATTAATATTTTAATCTGGAAATTGGATTACCTGCCATAAATAAATTACACCTGGATCTTGTTCCTTTCCTTATGTGAGTAATACGAAGGAAAGATGTAGCGTTTATTGTTTCATTTTATAAACAGAAACTATTAGTCTTTTTCATGTCGTATTGGAAACATATTTTTAAATGCTTTTTCTCAAATTATTCGAAAACTTGGCAATTTTCGGTATTGTTTGTGGTAGAGCCACGCTCTCACAGAATACCAGTGTAAAATAGCAGCTCAAAATTGCTGTATCGTATGGTGAGTGTAGAGAACCGGAGACCCCTTATACTTTAAAAGGGTCATTCCATCTTAGTCCTCAGGGGTGACAACGCATCTGAATTCTTAATCGAGGATAGATGTAGATATCTATGGGCCATAGCATCCATTTACCATCAAGTAGACTGTATGCTCGTTTGTCACCCTTATTCTATATGAAAAAAATTGGAAACCCTAGGTGCTTTCGCCGTAGCACTGGTCGCTATCACTGGCCTGGGGATTAGAGGGTAGTCTTGTATTAAAGCTACAATACCTAAATTAATTAACAAACCAACTTTTTACTCTTTCATTCATGGACGCATCATTATCACCATCAGGCGTACTTTGCGGAAAGCAACTATATTAAACTATTAAGAAATTACTTAACTGCCAAACACCGCAGTCTATTTCACCTGAGGTGGTCTTTCCTAGTGTTGTGGTGTTGAGAGTAAATGTGCTGGGTTTAGTAGGAGAAGGACTATCCCTGATGTATGCAATTGAGGGAGGGCGGGGGGTGCTCTTCCAACTAGTAAGACACATCATTTTATTTTAGTGTACGCATCTTAGCTTATTAATTTTTATCGTCTCAATCTCTACAAATTTACTGTTGAACATTATCCTCTCACAAGGAATGCCACGAAAAACGATTCTGAGCCTTCTGCATCCGTTGACTTTCTACAAGTCATCGCCCAAATCGAATAGTTTCAGAAAAAAATCCAAACCACAGCAGCTTAGATGTTATCCATTAAGATAAGGTCAAACAGCACCACATATATTATTCTACATTTATTTATTTTAAAATCTCTATTGCATTTCGTTTGAAAAAAAATAATACAAAAACCAGAATTAATGCATATATATGGTTGACTGGCGGAGAAGTAAATAGGAAATAATATAATTTATGAATTATATGGAAAATTCATAGTAGTATTTAAAAAAAAAACTTGCCATTATTAATTTATCACCATCTCATTTTATTTAAAAAAAACATTACACAAATTGTATAACTTACAGTTAAGAAATTTGATTCAATTCACAATATACGAGTATCAAAGTATAATATAAACATCTTATATTATATAATTGCAACAAACTTTGAATACTGCCATAATTATTTGAGTATATTTTATATGTATATTTTTTTATTCAATAAAATATATAAATATATTTTAACTATAATAAATTGTTTCTCTCTTAAATTATTATAAAAATATTGCATCTATTATATAGTGGTTAGTTATTATAACTTCTGAACGACTTAACCGATTGAGTTCATATTCATATTTGTTTTATAGAGGCAATAGTTAATAGCTATGCTAAGATCCGATAGATGGCACTGTAGTCAATTCTATATTCTAGTCGTATTTTTAATTAGACGAAGCCAACTGACAGTAGCTAATGTCACTTTGTAAAATAATGTTGCCATATTTAAAGTAATAGTGATGCGTTCAGTTCTCGTTCAATCAGATGAATGAACAATGAGTGTGTATAGTTAATCATTTCAAACTATAAAAGAATATTATTTCTATTTTACAATAAAATTGTATAAAAGTGCTCTGATATAAGTTACTAGTAGTAGGTATGTAACTACAATCAGTTTTTTGAGGTTTTATTACAAAGCGCGGCGCGGCGACTACTGCCAACACCGATCAACGCCGCGCGCGTCGGTCGCCATTTTGTTTGTTATTCGGCTTCTAACCTCTGGTCTGATAGCACGAATGTTTTTTCTGCGCTCACGCTGTTTAGTTATTGTTTTTGTTAAGTTTTTCGTTACGTTGTGTTTGTGGTAATTGTTGTGTTTATTTGTTGCTATATTGTTTCGTACAAATGATATGGATCCTCAACCAAGCACGTCAAGCCAAAGCTTGTCTCCAAGAAAGAAGAGACCACGGATTGCTTTAAGCGTTACCGAAAAACTTATGATACAAAACGTCTACAAACACGTATTTGAGGAAAAAGCTGCTTCACTATTACCTATTGAGGCCCCCGAAAAAAAAGAATGTGTTTCGAAAACAGCTGACATTTTGGGAATTGGTGTGACCTCAGTTTACAGTGTGTTAAAAGAATGCAAAGAAAATGAACAATTTAAGTCTCCCGAGAAACGTGGACCGAAACACAGTTTCAAAGATAAATTAGACAATTTTACTTTTGCCGCTATAAGGCGAAAAGTACATAATTTTTTTTATGCAAATGAGTCACCCACCATTATAAAGGTAACTTAAACTTTATTCCTTCTACTGCATTATATTCTGTGTCCACCATAATGTTCTTTGTAAAACCAAAGTATTAGATTGCGTAGACTTCCTTACTCAAAACATATTTTTATTACTTTACAGATTCTTAAGGTTGTCAATGAAGACCCAGACTTACCCAATTTTTCTTGGAGTACATTAAGAAATGTTATGAAACATTTAAATTTCAAATATGTCACAAAATCAAGACACAGCATTTTAATTGACAGACAGGACATTATTCTATGGCGCCAGCGATACCTTCGAAAAATTAAAGAGTATCGAAGGGAAGGAAGGTATATTTATTACCAAGATGAAACCTGGATCAACGAAGGTAATTACAATTTTCTGTTTTCTTTACATTAAATTGTACTTTCAATAATTAATTGATATTTTTCACTATCTTGAAGGTCATGCACCGAAGAAGGCATGGATTGACCAGACAGTGTTATCGTCCCGCCAGGCCTTCCTAGATGGCTTGACCACTGGCTTAAAACAGCCTTCAGGAAAGGGCAAACGATTAATTATCGGCCATATAGGCGGGGAAGAAGGATTCGTAGAAGACAGCTTATTAATATTTGAAGCCAAAAAAAATAAAGAAGATTATCATCAAGAGATGAATGCCGATTCCTTTGAGAAGTGGTTTAGGGGGGTCTTGCCAAAACTAAAACCAAATTCCGTAGTAGTGATGGATAATGCCCCCTACCACTCCAGGAAACTAGAATCGCTGCCTAAAATGTCTTGGACTAAACCTAGAATACTAGAGTGGCTAACGAGCAAAAATATTTCATTCGAAGCAACAATGGTTAAAGCTACTCTTATAGACATTGTACGGCAGCACAAGCAAGAACATTGCGATAAGTATGTTGTGGACGAGATGGCAGCGCAGCATGGGATAATTGTTTTACGTCTGCCCCCATACCACTGTGAGCTCAATCCCATTGAGTTGGTATGGGCGCAGGCTAAAGGATATGTTGCAAGAAATAACAAAACCTTCAAAATGACAAAGTAAAAAAACTTTTTGAAGAAGGACTTCAACATATCACACCTGAAAAATGGAATAGCTGCGTGTCTCATATAATTAAAAAAGAAGACAAAATGTATGGTCTCGACCACATGATTGACAATGTTACTGACAGATTTTTAATTAATGTCACCGAAAGCGATAGTGATGATTTTTTATCTGATAATGAATAAAAACAAATTATGTAATAAGCGATTTTTTTTATTCTCATTACCTACCTATAATTGTTATATTTTATACATCTATAGTTTCAACTACATGATGTATTGAAAATAGGACAGTCTTACAAGTTTCCTCGCAATATTTTCCTTAATGTTTAAAACACTCGGTATTCAGTATAGGTAGATATTATAGGAACATAGTCGCCGAAAACTCGTTGGTATGTACAAAGCACGACTAAAATTCGAACCCCGTACCCGATATCGGCAGTTCAGCACACTAACTATTCACTAGACAATCGAGGCAATTTCATTAATTCAGGAGTTTTTCAATCATTCACTTTGTCACAACACTATTTTTATTTCATCAAAAACTGACAACACAGTAAACGTCAGTTGACTTCGTCTAATTAAAAATACGATATATAATTGAATTAAACAAAAATTCTATATTTTTTAAGGAAAATGACGCATATTCAATTTAAAATACATTATATTGGTTTACCGTCTAAAAAGAATATTAAAAAAATCTGGACCTAATAGGTAGCCCTGTGGTTGGATTACCAATAAATTTAAATTTATACTGTAAAAAGTTCGCCTGAGTGAAATTCATCGCGCCGTCTACCGTTATGGTCAGAAAAATGTCTGCCGGGTCGGCTAGTCTATACAAAAAAATAAAATTGAAGTGTCTGTTAACAGCTTTTTACTAAATGGATACGAATGTATATACGGTACTTAAAACAAAAACACAATTTTTAAAATTTTTGTCTGTCTGTCTGTTTGTTCCGGCTAATCTCCGAAACGGCCGGACCGATTTCGATGGACGATTTTACTGGCAGATAGCTGATGTTATAAGGAGTATCTTAGGCAACTTACATTTTAGAAAAAGAATTAGGGTTCCGCGCAACATAAATAAAACCCTAAATTACACGCGGGTGAAGTCTATTGTTAAAATTTTCAAATAAAAACCACTTTTTAAGGCAGTTTAAAATTTACATTTGGATGACCTTTCACTCCCAGCCCCGTCACCATAAAGGTGGCCCCACAAGGCGGTTCCTGCTCTTCTTTTATCGGCATGCTACCAGTTGTTACAAACAGGACATCTAAATTTGGTCCCCCAAACGTGACAGAGGTGATTTGCTTAGCAGGTATTGGAATTTTCTGTGATATAATTCCCAATTTGGGATCAATTTTCAGAATGCAACATCCATCGAAAACCGCCACCCATAGATTACCCTCTGTGTCGATGGTCATACCATCAGGAAAACCAGTTATATTGTTTTTCTTGAAGTCAAATATGTATGATTTGTTAGCTGAAAACAAAACAATTTTTATTAGTATTATAACATAATATTATGTTGCAGCTATATTATGGTTGTAGCACGAATGGGTCGACGCGACCAATTAAATAGCAGCTCAATGCTGCTGTGTTTCGTATTATGAGTGACAGAACCGGTGAACCTGGTTTTACTGTTTTACTGGATACGAGATATTCCGTCTTAGTCTTCAGATATGACAACGCATCTGCGTTTTGATTCTTAATTGAGGGTAGACATATATGTCTATGGGCCACAGCAACTTTTTACGTGGTAGAGCCATGGCTCTATATTAGTAGTATAATTGTAGCACGAATGGGTCGGCTCGACCGGGGAAGGACCATGCTGTCACAGAATACCAGCGTAAAATAGCAGCTTAAGACTAATGTGTTTCGTATGGTAAGTATAGAGAACCGGAGACCCTTTTAACTGGAAAATAGGCATTCCATCTTAGTCCTCACGGGTGACAACGGATCTGCATTTTGATTCTTTATTGAGAATAGATGTGGATGTCTATGGGACACAGCAACCACTTACCATCAGGTGGACTGTGTGCTCGTTTGTCACCTATCCTACACTCACTATACGAATCACAGCAGAGTTAAGCTGCTATTTTACGCTGGTATTCTGTGAGAGCGTGGTCCTTCCCCGGTCGAGCCGACCCACTCATGCTACAATAATACTACTAATATAGCTGCAGCATGATTATACCACGTAGAAAAAGATAATAAACATAGTCCAGTCAAATAAGGTCTGAAATCAAAATTTTGGGACTCAACTTTGCATTATTGATATAATGTAGTTTTAATGATACAAAAACAATGTTTAAAGGTTTTCGTGTCTGCAACCCCGGCAAGGGTTGAAAAAAATTGTTCAAGTGTATTTTCGCAATTACTTGAAAACAGTAAAAATACAAAAAAGTTCTAATAAAAATGTGTAGAGCTTAAAATTTTACATTAAAAAGGTTTTATGATTTTTTTTACTCCGGTGAAAATTAACTGAGTTGGGAAGATTTTATGTTTAAGGGATGCCTTTAATTTTAGGGATACAGATTTTTTTATTGTTAAAAAAATATAATTTTTTTATACCTGTATAAATTCACACCTGTCCAAATATACCAGGTAAATATTTTTTTAATTGTAAAATTCAGGAATTTTTACGAGGAATCTCAATATGGCAAAAAATAAATAATTCATTAATTTTTAAGCATTCAAATTTCAATTTGAAAATTTAAAATTGGTATAATATTTTACAACATTAAAACAATAAAAAAATCTGTATTTCTAAAATTAAAGATTAGATATTATTAAGCAAATTAGAAAAAAAATTAAATTACAAATTGTTACCATGAGAATGTGTGAGAATAGCAAATGAAAGAGAGCACACTGTCTCAAGATCGTGCCAAATGGAAGTCCATAGTCTGCTTACCCCGCTGGGTGACAGGTGTGAGTGTTTATGTTTTTTTTTTCGTAACAAAGTCATCATTTCACATTACATTTTTTAATATAAACTACCAAAATTAATTATAGATAAAGAAAATGTTAATAATTTACCTTAAAAAATAATTAGATACTTACAAATCTCTCCAGTGTCCACATCATAATCATAACGCCTTATTTTATGCTCCAAAGAATCTGTATAATAGAACGCTTTTTCCTTGAGATCCCATGCCAAACCGTTTGAGATGGTTACACCTTCACACATCTTTACCACTCCTCTCCTATCTATTCGGTAGAGAGAGCCTTTTTCTTTCTGGAAGTTGCCTGGAGACTCTTCATGTCCCATAGTACCTGATTTAAAAGTCAAAACATGTTTTTATAAGATTTAGATAAGTAGCCGCTTTGGATTGCAACATTTTATGAAAAACAAATATTTTAAAAAAAATTGCAACATGATGAATGAATATTAAGAATAACAGTCATTAACATCCTTCAAAATTTGTGGTCAATAATTTTAAACATATAAATGTGACAATACCTGCGTATAGTCTGCCTTTAGGATCCGCTTTCCCATCATTGATCCTTGTAGTTGGGATGTCTTGATCTACTTCCGCTAATTCCTTAACAACTTGAACCTTGCTCCCTTCCTCGCCATCCCACTGGATAATCAAAAATTTGCGCTCCACTCCCACTACAAACTGGTCAGTTGTACCATCAACTGGAATTATAAAACCTACACGACCATCTGAAAATATTTTTAGATAGTTATGATCTTTACCCAGCGGACTGATTGACAGGCTGCTAATGAAAATATTGTTGTCAGTGATCAGTAGCAGTGTACAACCTGATCGAGTTTACTCCGAACCTGGCGTCTATGACGTCATATCGACGCTCTGCTACGGTGTACAGTGACGCAACAGGATGAACATGGGGATGTGAACTAGTAAGTGGGAGGGGTAACACATTCTAAAGAAAGAATTAGAGATTAGATTCAAAAGAAAAAATAGAAAGAATCAATTGTGTATTTATAACTATTCTTTATAATTAGTTATTAAATGATGCTCGTTTCCTCTTAGAAGTGAATTAATAACAAATTAATTATAATATCTGGGTCACAATAGATGGTTAATTACAAAATAGCTATGTGCACAAATTAAAACTTAAAAATATGTACCTAATTGAGTCTTGGTGTGAGCTCCACTAGCTGGTACATATTTATGAATAGTCTTTTGTTTAATGCTGACAAAGTATAGAGCCTGTTGGCGGTCATCCCAATGTGGACCTTCTCCCAAAAGCACAGGTTCAGTAATCTTTTGTACTGACACTGACATTCTTGTACACATCTGAAATTTGGTCCAATGTTATAAAAATTTTAGGTCATGTTTATTGTTTAAAAGTGGGCTATATAACTAAATTAAATTATAAATCTCCTCATAAATTATAATGCATATAATGTTAGGTCCCAATCCCTGCTGGCTTTGTCTCATGCAGTATGATTTCATTGGTAATATTAGGTCTTAATCAATGTACAATATTGCCCTGATGCACGCCCTATCTACTTTTACTTGAAAATATGTAGTTTCAAGACAATTATTTTTTAAAGTTTTCAGAAGATTGATTAATTGAATAATCAATTATTAGTAGTTAAATATTAGAGTATAATGTACTGTACATAGTACATACTATTTCAATGCTTTGGATAGAGCAAGTATTGCCAAAGTGTGCACCAGAGTAAAGAGGGGTTGCCATCAGGCGGACACTAAACTTTGGTATTTGTGGGTACAAAATGAACCACATTTTCACCTGTAGCTATAAATAAAGATCAACACTTTGAAAAAAATGTGTGAGGATCACCAAGCTTACACGTCTCCTTGAGTAAGTTGTTGTTGTATTTTATTTCCTATTTTTCTTAAATAATAAATACATTCTGGTGTCAAAATAAATATAAAATTTCAACTATATATATTTCCTATATATATTACCTAATATCATTGTGCACTATATATATATAAAAATCTAGCTAAAACTTATAAACAGCTCGAGCTATTTTGATGAAATTTTGGTGTGATAGATGGTTTAGTTTCACATTTGGACCTGGTAGGTGGTGCTGTTATAGAGATCCAGAAATCATCCACACAAAGCCAGGGCGGATCATTAGTATCTAAAATATATATTATAATACCTAAAAATATTAAAATATGTCAATTATGCATGTCATTTTTATTTAATTGTGTCTGACACAGATTGACCATTCTTTATCTACTTGTTTGCTTGTGTGCTGATATTATACCAACAGTATCATAATTACTCCGAAAGAGAAAAATTCACTGTTTCTGGTTTGTTGCTTAGTGAAGTTGTATTTGCATGTCAAACTAACAATGATAACACTATTCATTTGTTAATGCCATGTTTTGCATTGATTACACAACTTACTTAAGGTGAGCATAGTAGGTAGGCATCTTATTCATATATTTTATATGTGGTAGAGCTATGCCGCAGCTATATTATGGTTACAGCACAAATGGGTGAGCTTGACTGGTGTAGGACCACACACTCACATAATACCATCATAAGATAGCACCTAAATGCTGCTGTGTTTCATATGGTAAGCGTAGAGAACTGAAAACCCTTTTTACTTGAAACAAGGCACTCAATCTTAGTGACAATGCATCTGTCTTCTGATTCTTTATTGAGGATAGATGTAGATGTCTAAGGTTCACAGCATACACTTACTGGTGGACTATGTGATTGTTTATCATACTTATTCTAGAAACAAAAACATACAGTCTAAGATTCATATTATGTATGTGAAATGCATTAGGGTTCCAGAAGTTAAGTCTTGTTTGCCAAAGCTATTGTTGTTTCATGTAATGTATGCCTCTATGACTTGGCAGCTAAGAAAGCTTTAATGTTAGACTTGACAAATACATCAAGAGCATTTTCTGTTTTGATAATAACTTGAAATTGCAAAATAAATAAGAATTCAAGGCTCTAAAGCTGAGGGAACATTTATAGACCACTTAGTAGCAACAGCATTAGTAGCACTTTTTATTCATTTTATAAAGGAATCAGAATAATTATTTTATACCTTACTTAATGTAGATGATAACAACTACTAGCAGAGCAACTCGCTTGCAAACGACTGAAGTGAACTGAACTGAACTAAGATACATATGGCAGTTCCATTTATAGTGTACAGTGCTGTTACAACTACCCACAAATCTTATTATTTTTACCTATGTTACTTTATGGTTTTATGATTCATTAAATCTGCATATGTAGACTTAATAATCATTTATGTATAATAATTTATTATATAGGTGTTGATGATTTCAAAGCCATTTGTAACCCAAGAAATTTTCAGATAACATTATTCAAAGAACAGGGATTGGGCAACGTACCAGCACTTTTCTTAGATGAAAGTGAATGGAGCCCAAACTCGTCGATGCCATACCACAAGGGCACTGATGAGGTTGACAGATCGTCGCTCATAGTCGGATTCCTACGGTTTTCTATTAAGCATTCTATTAAGTAATATGCCGAGATGTTTGATGGTAAAACATGTAACTGGTGACTAGATTCCTTAGAAGAAACAGTTAAAAGACGGGCCAGATCTTGGTCACTTTGGAAATTATGATACAAATTAATATTTCTGCACATTCCGCACCAACGGAATATCCCACTGTTTATAATTGTTAACTTCACTTTATACTTTATAATGATATGAAGGAATATCATATTTGAAAGAAGTGAAGCTAACCGCCTTTGAGTATCTTTATAAGCGGTTCGATTAGCTCCTCACTCATTACAGAGTAATTATTCTTTGTATTTATTTAACATCCAGAACATTAAATGGAAATGTAAAATATTAATTGAAAATTACGTTTTACTTACGTTGAAAGATACCCAGAGAGCTAGCCAACTACTTATTACTCTTTGCAGCCAACACTGTTAAGCACAACCACATTATTACATTATATATCGCATCATTTTGCTAACATAACGTAATCATAATTTATTACTTAAGTCCCAGTTATCGGTAACTCGTTGAAACCAAATCAAATATTCAAAATAATAAATATGTAAAGCAAACTATATAACAATAACTATTGCCATGCTCTACTCTTTTAGTGATGGTCAACTCGACTTACAAATTCTAGTCCAGTTAACTCGAGTAATGTTCAACTCTATAGGTGTGGGTAATCTCGCTTTTTCTGAATATCATATCAAAACTATATATCGATATTTGATATCGGATTTCGAAACACTATATTTTCTGAAACTATTTAATGACGATATTATGCCGTTCTAGTTTACCTCAAGATGAAAATTGACCCCATAGTTATTTCGATATCGGTTTCGCAACGATTTTTGACAAAGTGGATACAGACTCAATACTAGGCTACGTACGTACAGTATATATAGTGTATCCCACCATATGATACTAAGAGTGAGTAGATACTATTATGATAACTAGAGTATGCACTATGTATTGTATACAATATACAACAAAACTAATAGTCAGCATTAATCGACTGTCCTTCGTACTTTTATCAGTTCAGGACTGCCTGCAATATTTTCGGTTTTGAAAAAACCGTGTTTTATTGTGTTAATAGTTAATTAGGTTCGTGTAAATGTAGATACATACACCATCTTACAGTAATGATGCAAGCGTATTTATCAGTCCATTTGCTGATCTGTATATTTTACACTATATACAATCGTTCAAATGTGACGAAGTGAATAATGCTATATCAAAATTAGTGCATTGGTTTAACGTTAATAAACTACATATAAACGGAAATAAAACTAAATGTATTAAATTTACAACAACGAATGTTAAACCAATGTGTTTTTTAATGGGGAAGAACTGAGCCCTGTTGAATCCACTGTTTTTTTTGGCATCACTCTCGACGCAAGCTTTAGTGGGGCCCCCATATGTTCAAACTAGCAAGTAGACTAAGTTCTGCAGCCTATGCTGTAAAAAAGATTGGAGGTCTCACTAGTGTCGAGACAGATAGATTAGTTTATTTCAGTTATTTCCATAGCATAATGTCTTATGGGATTTTGCTATGGGGAAATGCGGCTGATTCAGAAACTTTTTTCTTTTACACAAGAGGGCCATTAGAGCTATTTACAACCTAAAACCGAGAGAGTCTCTTTGAGATACATTTAAAGAAATAAATATATTAACTTTGGCCTCTCAGTATATTTACGAAAATTTAATGTATGTTCACAAAAACAAAGGTAGTTTTAGTAAGAAAATGTGATATACATTCTGTAAACACTAGGAACAAACACAAGCTAGTGATACCAGTTTTTCGACACCACAGAGTCAGTAATTCATCCTTGGGGCAATGTATACGCTCACGGAATATAAAAAAACTTGTTTTTTATATTCCGTGTATACGCTATTACAACATAATCCCGGAAAGTGTACAGGCGTAGTTTGTACAACCATTAATGTAAAATATGCTTTTAAAAAAAAGTCCCGCTGGGTTTCTTGCTGATTCTTCCCAGGACAAAGGCTTTTTTTTCCGAACCAGTTGTAAAGTAAAAAATGATTTTCAATAAGAATTACACATGTGATCTATATTGAATAAAAAATTATTCTATTCTATTCTATTTTACAAAGTTAAGCAGTACTAACTACTAAGTATTTACATTGTTTAAGTTAAATTCTCGTACCTTAACAATGTAATATTTTTTTTTGTTAAATCCCATCTATTGAACAACGCAGGAACTTTTGCGTTATTGATTATACCGATAATTAAGTACATAGCTTCAGCTATTGTATCGACAGACGTCATTCTTTAAAAACTCCTCAGAAAACTTGCCCTATGTGGGGGAATAACTCATTGTTACACCAAAATGGACGTTCGAATCGTTTATAGATCTTAAAATATTTCGACATTGATATCATATCTTCAATTTTATCGAAAACCACAGATAAATATATAATAAAGTATCTACAAAAAGAAGCGTAGTCTTCCACCTCAATTAGTTTTAATTACCTTAAATTACAAAATGCTACTTGTAGGTACTAAAATGCATGATCAAACAAACAAGCACTTAATAATTGATAATACTAAATATTTACATTGTTAAAGTTCGAGAGATTATTCAAATCTGTGTTTGTTAAGATTAACATTTAAAAATGCGAGTTAAAGTTTTAATTTAACTAAATTAATACCTATGCAAAATTAGGTAGTACTAGCGTAGAATATAATAATAATAGCCACTAGTAACTGCTTCTGCTACCCGCAAGCTCACGCCTACTACTGACTGATTGCCAAGCGTTTGGATACATCGCAAACACGTTTTTCGAACACCTTTGATTGGTACATAAAAACCGACACCGATGCCGATCACTGGCAATCACATACAAAAACAGGCAAACAACCATCCACACGTTCGTGTTTGTTTTTTGGTCTTCGCTGTTTGCCGTTGTTTGCCAAGCATGTGTAGGCTTAAAAAAATTCGAAACTTCATAGGTGTGAGCTGTTTGCTACAACGCAAAGATTATAGTAATAATAATTGTCCTAATATATTATGCGTTAGCATTTTTAGTCTGTGCTCAACAAGGAGTTGGATAGAAGAACAATTCTATAAATAATTTGTAACAAATTGACACAGCTTCGTTTAGAGTTGCGTAACTAGATTTCAATTCGAGTTACGTGAATTTCAACTCTAGGTAACTAAAATCGAGTTTCTTCCGAGTTGGCACATCTCTATGCTCTGGTACTCTGTGATTAAATCTATTAATATTATAATTTATTATATAAAAATTAATGTTTGTTGTTCGTATTTTATGCGCTGCCATATCGCTCATCAGATTGCGCTAAAACTTTGTCAACATAATGCTTGCACTTGAGCGAAGGTTATAGACATAGTACAATGAACTTACAGATGGTGAAAAAAAAACTTCTAGTAGATGGCGCGCGTATCGTACCGACAAATTTATTTGAAAGTCATACATACATGTCATTTAATTTCAATGAACGTATTATAATTCCTAATGAAACAACTATTCCTCATTCAAAGCGATATTTCCACAACTATATCCTCTGCGGCAGCAATGTGCCGGGTACCAACTAGTTAATTATAATCTAATAAATATATAGTACTCTATAGGACAGGGGTAGCGAACCTTTAAGTATCAACGTGCCATTTTTTCTTTTCTAAAGAAATGCTTTATGAGACCATAGACGTGCCGTAAAATAATTTTGACTTCGTGATTACCGCCACCCCACGCATCGCGCTCGAACACCGTAGCCACAGAATACATGTACCCTGACGGGACCGTAGCTATGGAGTGTAGAGAGAAGGAGGACCATCTCTATACAATGAAAAGTGTCCCTAAAAACGTGTCCAATAAGGGTGGCGCTTTTTATTTTTAAAGTGTAATCAAAATAGTGCTTTCTATTCTACGCGTCAATATGAACAACTTTTACTATAGATCTATCTTCAAAATCGCAAGAAAAATCAGGTCTTCCATACATTTTGAGCAAGTTTGTACGAAATTTTGTATGGAATAACTGATTTTGAGATATTTTTTATAGGAGCAGGGTGACAAACGAGCACTCAGTCCACCTGATGATAAGTGGTTGCTGTGGCTCATAGACATATACATCTATCCTCGGGTAAGAATCAAAATGCAGATGCGTTGCAACCCCTGAGGACTAAGATGGAATGCCTCATTTCCAGTAAAAAGGGTCTCCGGTTCTCTACACTCACCATACGAAACACAGCAGCGTTAAGCACCTATTTTACACTGGTATTCTGTGAGAGCGTGGTCCTTCCCCGGTCGAGCTGACCCATTCGTGCTACAACTGTACCAGTAATATAGCTGCAGTATGGGTCTATCACGTATAAATTGAAAATTTCGAAGATGATTCCATAATAAAAAATATGCATGTTGACGGGCAGAATGATTCCCTAAGTTATTAAGTACTATTTTGTTACACCTTTAGTTAGTATATAAGACCGGGGAAAAAGTTTCTTCGTATATTGTATACAAATTCAAGATGTTTTTGTTTTAGTTTTATTACATTTAATTATATGGGTCCATTCTGTTCGATAATTTGTTACCATCTTGTAGGTAGTGACATAATAAAAAATAAACGTTGCTGTAGAAATCTTAGGATTTTGATTAAAAAAATGCGACAAGTAGTTTTATTTGATGTATTCAATGCCAGAGATTTGAAGGAACATGGATTGAGTCATCCCATTTATAATGGAAAAAAATCATAAACTTAAATATTAAAACCTCCAGAAAGCTTTCTTTTAAAGAACACAAGCAACAAAAGAAAATAATGACTAAAACTTTTAAACCAGTTTTAAGTACTCAAGGAAATACTGGATTTTTAGGAATTTTAGTGTGTATTGAAAGTCTCAAACAGATAAATAATCTTGTGATCTGGCGTCATCATGATGAAAGTCCACTCCTTTTCTGATTATCAATGCCAGCCGTTTTTTTTTTCAATTTCTTGCTTGTCTCATTATTTATTGGTAGTAGAGATCCGAATCGATGGTTTTACCCGGCGGTAAAAGCTCATGACAAACTTTCAATCCCACCATACACACATCATCATTTTATTGCGTGTTAATCCAGGTTTCGCTTTAGTCTGTAAACAAAACACATATCAATACAGAAAAAAATAACGTTTCTATGGTCTTCATACAAGAAACGTGATTTTTATGATTATTTTTTTTGGGTCCTTTAATATTTTACTTGTTTTCTTTTTTATTTTATGTTGTTAGCAGCAATATACTCGTACCTAGTCAGGTCATAAGTATTGTCACACAGTAAAAACTTTTCTTTTAGAATGCTGGCCACAAAAAACTTTATTGAATACGAATTTCGAATTGTTCATGAAAATAAAACTGTATACTTTTTAGAAATTTACTCATTTTTAAATATGGAGTGGACGCTTAAAGAAGACCGTGTTGCAGTTATTGCGTTGCATCGTTGCGGTTATGCGCCATTTCAAATTTTTGACATACTGAAAAATTTGAATATAACCAAAAGATTCATTTATCGTACCATCAAACGATACAATGAAGACTCTAGTGTAGATGACAGGTCAAGAAGTGGTCGCCCTCGATCTGTTAGGACTTCAGCAGTGATAAAAGCTGTGAAGGCGCGAATTCAAAGAAATCCCAAACGTAAGCAGAAACTGTTGGCCCTTCAGATGGGGTTAAGCAGAACCACGGTGAAAAGGGTGTTAAATGAAGACTTAGGGCTTCGGACATATCGAAGAAAAACAGGACATCGTTTGAATGCTCGTTTAATGGACCTGAGACTGAAGAGATGCCGCGCTTT